CAAGCGGAGGCGAAAAGTCCTGTATCATTTTGTAAGTTTCTCCAATAATTAACGAGATATTAATCCTTAAAGATAGCCGAATACGTGCGTCCGCCTGGCCTACTCCGCTCTACCTGCTCATGAAAAATTTGGCGATTATTTCCAGACACCCTATATACATATTACATATAAACATATTTATATATTTTACATTACACATACATAATATTAGAATTCCTGCTCAATTTTGAAATAATAATTTTTCAGTAGGGATACCGACTGGATATAGTGATTCTAAAAGCGAAAATGAATAAAAAAAAAACATTTGTATATGTACATATGTGTAAGCTTGGACGCGAGAATATAAATATATAAATATTTATACGTATAAATATGTATATATATATATATATATATATATATATATATATATACATATGTACATATGTGTGTGCGTGCGAGTGTAAATATATAAATAGAAAATGTAACTTTACCATTGTCGGTTCCAAATCCGAATAAAAGAAAGGAGGGCATCTCGATATTTATCATTATTTTTTAAATAATAAGAAAACTTTTTCGTTGCCAATTATCATTATTAATATTATAGTCGTTACAAATCGAATCTAAAAATATAAAATGATTCGTAAAAAGGATTGTTTGAAAGCAATAATTGATGTTTCACCTATTATCAAGTTTTCAATATTTTTCATAAGATTATTAATTTTTTTTGTTACAAATGACCTAATAAAAAGTATAATAAGTATCTAATTAATGTTTTTACTGGTGCAATATCACTCGCATTTAATTCAATTTGGAATTAACTTCTAAATCAATGAACTACAACTGATAATGATTTTATAACGATGCAAATCGGATTTTATTCACTTTGTTTCAATGCATCAATTTTTCCTTAAGTCTAGCATTATTATAATGATTATTTTCGATTTTTAGGAAGAAAAATGTATAAAAAAACATAGAAATAAAATGATTTCCGAGTGATCGCGAAAAATTGGTACTCTCCTTTATTAAAGAAATATCTGTCCGATTTAAAAAAATATTTAAAAATGTGAAAATGGTGCACGCGAAAAAAGTTTTCATGTAAAAATTCAATATAAAAGTATGAATTATAAAAAAAGTATATGTATAAGTTATCTCAAAAACTACAGGTATTTCTTTAGATAATTCAATTGACAATAACTGAGCAAAATTTTAAATGATTTAGATTAAATTATAATAGTAATAAGACTCAATAAATTTAAAAACAGAAAGACAAAGGGCTACGTGCCTAAAACAATCGTTACAAAATAAAAATTGTTAACCGTTAATAAATAAACATGTCATCTAGTTAAAATATAACTTTAATTTGCCAGTAACGAACAAAAACAAAACAAACATTTCGATCCCTATTGGATCATTAGTAATGTAAACAAAAACGGTGAAAATATTACATAGTTAAGATATACAAAAATCAAAGTTCGCTCTCGATCGCATCATTGATAATCAAACTCGCTCAATTTAGAATAAATGTTACAGGAATGTTGCAATCGGAAATCATGTATTCCTCTTGATAGTGTATGAAGATAATAGACAAACATAACTTGTTTCTATTAAAAAGTACAAATATATAAAATTATAATTAGAATAAGTAATCAAATCTAATAAGAGAAATACAAGAAACAAGGAATACCAATAAAAATAAAAAAGTAAAAAAGTAATCTATTATAATATCATGCGAAATGTACATTAAAGTCATTAAACCGAACAGAAACTAATCTTTTATTAAACGAAGACTCGCAATCTATATAGTTTCTGAAATGATTTTCCGATTACAACATTCCTGTAACATTTATTCTAAATTGAGCGAGTTTGATTATCAATGATGCGATCGAGAGCGAACTTTAATTTTTGTATGTCTTAACTATGTAATATTTCCATCCTTTTTGTTTACATTGATAATGATCCAACAGAGATCGATTTGTTTTGTTTTTGTTACTAATCAAAGTTTATATTTTAACTAGATAACATGTTTTATTTATTAACGGTTAAAAATTTTTATTTTATAACGATTGTTTTAGGCTCGTAGCCCTTTGTCTTTCTGATTTGGATTAATTTTTGTGGTAGTTGTAGTGTCCACCGTTTTTTAAAACACTATTCTGAGAAAAACGCAATTAAAGTTTCAATAACAATCTTCTTTCGTCGTATTTTAAGCAAATAGACGCACTGATTTTTAACTGAAACCAGTATAATCTATATTAAAATGATACGTCAATGTCATTTACAGTACAGATGTGTAACTATGATGTCAGATAACTGTTTATCTGAAATATTCAGAACAGAACAATTTAACGGCAACATAGAGGTACCGATTGCTATGAACCTCTCGACATAATCAACTGTATCTTCGTCAATATTGGAAATTTCACTTTTAGATAAAAAATTTTATATTTTTAAGGCTTCCGAATAGTCACAGCCATATTAAATCGTGATGTCAGAAACGAGAAATGACATATTAATTAGTATTATGTGCCATTTATAAATAAAGACAATTTGGATAAAACAAAATGATGAGATTGCTTTAAAACAAAAAATGGACGAAAACTATGCTTATCTTTCCTGAGTCAGTGATAAAAAAAATAATCGTGATAAAAAAAATGATAAAAAGCACATAAAATGCTTTTATTCCATGCGCATGCGTAACTTATTTTCAATTACACGTGCCTTTTGCCAATTACACGGACTTAGTCAGAATCTAAATAGGTGTTTTAAGTCATAAGAAATGGACGAATCACAATCAATTATTCTCCTCGTATTCGACTGTAGTTAATCAATTTTTTGCGACTTAAGGTTTAAAACATCTATTGTAAATCCGAAACTGATGGCTCCTGTACGCGGTAATGAGACACGGTAAACAAAGAACACATTAGGAGCTGTAAGCTTATTGGCTACATCACATTTTGCCGCGCGGCAAGCGTTTATTTTGATGTTTAAATTTATTTTTGTATTTATATAATGGAATAGATATTTATATAGATATTGGTTATAAGATGGGGTAGTAGGGTTGTAAGTAATAGGGATTTAAATTGAGATAATAAATTAAAAAATTATGGTAAAAATTAATAGAAAGTTTTAATTTCTTTAATATAGTTTTCAAAACATAGACTTATTCAAGATCATTAATTAAATATTTTTTTTAATTGAGTAAAGTGATAATTAATAGAAGTAGGTAAGAGAAATGGGGGGGGGGGGAGAAATATAAAAATAATTTAGGTAAAAGAACATTATAATAAATTAAAAATAAAAGAGAAATAATTTAAAAGTTAAACACACACACACAAAATAAGATTCAATTCCGATCCGTCAAACTCTATGCAATTCATATTGGGATGAATTACAACCCAACAAACGAGAATGAATTGCAATGAATTGAAATGGATTCAGATTTTCAGAAATATTGATTCACAAATGTTAAAATGAATGCATTTTTATTCATTTATAGGAATTGCATGGAGCATATCTCTATGCCTTTCAATCTAAAAATAATATTAAATTTTTCTGTGCAAAAACACACAATTGTGAATATTGTTCAATTCAAATTTTTGAATAGGAAATGCAGTTTTTCAATCCAATTGCATCCAATTAAATCTAATTGAATCTAATTGAATCCAAAAAAAATATTCGCTATTTAAAGTACACATTCGGATAGAAAAAGTTTCAATCCATTTTAATCCAGATTCTCGTTTGCTGGAAATCATAACTTCAACTAATGACAGTGGTACCTTAAATTTGGAATAACTCAGTGAAAAATGATCGTATCGAACTTCGTAAAAAAAGCGTTTTAAAGATAAAGTTCCATACTATCATGTGCATCTTGTCCCATTAGGGTGTCATGTGATTTATGCCATGCATCGTGACAATCACGGATCTTCGATTATCAACTTTTCATCTTCTCAATTTGTCATTTGATATTTTGATAATGACCCAGTATAAATTTCATTCAAATATTCTTAAAATGGACACTTTAAGCTTCATTTCGCATTTTTAAACATATTTTTGTCTTCATTATTTACGAAGTTATGATCATTTGAAATCAGATAAATTTTTCCTAATTTTTCAGTATACCGTTTTTTTTGCGGATGAGTGTAGAATATATTTCGTATTATAAGTGCGATTGATTTTTACTTACATCGTAATTTTTTCAAGATTTGTACAAAATAATTATGTATATTCACATATGTAATAATTATTGTAATATACAATTTTACAGAATTGCATAATTTTAATTTTACTTCATAACTTAACTAATTTCTAATTGTTAAATTTATAGGACTGCATTAAACATAACTCGCTTAAAGATTTCCGGTTAAAAAGTCAACTTTGTTTAACTTGATCTGAACTTTGCCAGTGTTTGACGTTGTCAGGGTCAAGTGTCTACAGAACCGAGGACAGGAGAGAGGATGACAGAGGTAGGGATCGTTCTCCGCTCAGAGCCGAGGAACGTAGCAGTACAGACGATTGCGATCAGCTGGATGCAAAGAAACAGAAGTTGGCGTTTGGCTTTGGGAAGAAGGCTGGCAATGAACAGAAGAAAGGAATTCAAATTAAATTAGGTTCTTTCTCCGTAAGTAAAATATTCACATTGACTGTGATGCTTCGTTTTGTTACACAAATTTTTGTTGTAAAATTCTGCCTCTCATAAAATAACTTTTTGTTACAGAAGTCAACTGCGAAGACAACGACAGTATCAAAACCGACAGTAGCCTCGGTGTTCAACGCAGACGATGATGAAGAACCAGAGGAGATGCCGGCAGAAGCGAGAATGAGGATGCGAAATATCGGACGTGAGACACCAACATCGGCTGGACCAAATTCGTTCGGCAAAACAAAACAGGGATTCTGCGACTCTAAAAAGATATTTGAGAAAACGCTAAAGAAAGCAATGGAAGAAGCAAACAAATGATTTTTCATACATTATATATATATATATATATATATATATATATATATATATATATATTTACACACACACATACACATACACAATATACTATATGTATTTATGTATATACACATACACTGGTGTGTGTGTGTGTGTGCGTGTGTGCGCGCGTGTACATGAAAAATTATTACTTGTACATTAATTTTAAATAATTATTAGAGATTCTTCTTGCTAAAATCAGATGCAAGTATTTTTATGAAATGTAAGTAACTCATTGGTAGAATTCAGATTTAAAATGTCGCTTTTTAAAATTAAGGAGGATATTGACTGATATGTGTGTGTATGGGTGGGTGTATGTGTGAGTGCACATCATGTATTATAAATCTTATCTATACTCGCTCTAATAAACTTGACAATTCCAAGTTTATTCATATAATAGCACTAAACAGCTTATTATCCAACTTTGCATTAATTTACGATAAAATATTGTATTTTATTCACACTTTCTTTCACAATAATAAAAGTAATATAACATTGCTCTGGTTTTATGAATTTTTATTTATATCGAAATTAATTTTACATAATAAAATTATTTCCTGTTTTGTTGACCCTGGCGTAGATCCTGAAAACAAAAAGCATCATATAATATGTACACTGTAAAGATTTTATAACTGTGACTTTAAAAAATTTACATTTACTTAGTGATAACCTTATATATAATCTCAGATGTACATTTACTGAAAATATATATAATATCCCGTTGTATATATTTCACTACTAATCAGATTTAGATAATTAAAACTTTCATTGTGCTCCCAAAAAGCTTAAAAGAGTATCGATTAGCAGGATTTGTTCACGGATTTTTATGAATAAACGAACTACAAAATCTTTATAAAGACAATTACCCTTGGGAAGTTACGGACAGGAGGCGTTCTTATACGACGATCCGCCTTGGATCTGTTCCGCACCACTTTAGAGTGAATGGCGCAAGAGACACAATAGTGAAGCTTAGCATACAATTTAGGTAACTGATAAGATTGATAGAAGCTGGCCTCCGTTATGTCCCTGACAGCAGCGGCTTCGACAATATTACGAATGACGAATTTCTTGATGGCTTTGTCCTTGGGAACGCAACGAGCGCAGTTTGTGCAGCGGACTGGATTCACATGGCCGCGACCATGCTTGGCACGTCCACCATTTCTGCGTTTGCAAGTCTGACAAATAAACAAAAACGAATTAGATACATATGGATATAAACAGTGTATCAGAAAAATGATCATAATAATAAACCGTTTGCGACAATGAATCAATTATATGAATTAATTTTGAAATAGAATTGCTCACGATATAATTTTAAAAAATAAAGCTTTTCAGAAAATAAGTTCGAATGTTTTGAATTATTAAAATTTTGTAATATTAATTTTGAAATACTAGACTGCGTTCAGAATCGTCCGGATGCATCTAGATGATGATTCTGAACGCACTACGCAATTTTGATAAAGAAAAAATAAATATTTTCTTTCTTTTCCTCTAAGTTATCGTTCTTTATCTACAAGCAACTAAAAATCACAATTTTGAGTCTGTAATGTTTGTGTCTGTAATGAATGAGCGATATATTAAATATACATATATATACATATTTTTTTAATTTACATATATATTCTACAATCTATACATTAAGTATATAGATATAAATATATACTGTATTATGTAGTATATAGGGTGTTCCATTTAAAACTTCAACACAATTATCTCTCCTAAACTATTCATTAAGATGGAATCTACATGATGCTCGATTTCTTGAATGATAGCATGCATATAGCCACGCTTGCTTTGCTGTATCAATGTATGCTAGAATTCATTCATGTCATGATGTAAGAATATATTCTTACATCATGGTTCATGCATTGAGTGTTACATGTTGCATATACATGATTTTATATTTATTAAGGATTATTTCATAGCTTATTTTTTTGTATGTATCAATCAAAAGAAATAATTGATAGATTTTTCATAGTTTGTCAAACATCAGATTGTATACATCAAAGCAAGCATAGTAGCATGCACGTGTGCATGCATGAGTGCATACTTCAATCATACTTCAATCATCATATCATTCAAGAAATCGAGCAAGAACCGTGTGATTCCACCTTTATTCTAAAAAATGTTTTCTAAAAAGTGGTATTTGCTTTATTTCGAGGACATTTGCTGATAATTACAGATCCTCTCTAGATGAATCTGTGATGTATTCTAAGATTTCAAAATGATCTTTATTTTTTCAAATGAAATTACATTGTTTTTTTATATAATATATATGATTCTTCTACTTACTCTGCATAGAAAAGTATATAAAAGGTAGATATAAAAGGTGTATATAAAAAGTAGATATACCAAAATATCAATAGTTTACGAGATATTTTATACCTTATTCTGGTACCTTAGACTGACATGAAATATTATATATCTCGTAAACTATTAATTTCTTGATAATCTTTACCCCCTACTTTAACCCCTCTAAACCCAGCTTATAATGTACACCAAATTTGAAAACATGTTGAAATTATTTAATTCTCTATCGGCATCATTTGAGATTTGATATACATAATAATGTATATGTTGGAAAAAGTCAAAATTTTAAGATAAATTATTTAAATATTATAAATATTATAAACTACTTATATAAAAGTGCGCATAAAATAAAAAAAATTGAATTTAAAAAATTTGTTTAATATGATTTCAACAAAATCAGGCCTGAATGGATTAATTTCCTTTTATAAACAGAACAATGAGATAAATTAAGTAAAAAATAAGTAATTGTGTTTTCTTTATATCAATTGATTCATTATTCATTCATAAAAATATTAAGACAAATAATAAAAAATTAATAGTTTACGAGATATTTAATATTTCATGTTACATAACATGGAGTCAGAATGAAATATAAAACATCTCATAAACTACTTTTCGAATAATGGCTTCTGAACAAGTCAAATTTGACCGATAAAGGAACATAAAAACCAATATCTCGTATTAATTTATTGGTATCTCTATCTCAACTTTTATATGCAGCATTAGAGGAATCATACTATATAGAAAAAACTATATAATTTCTTTTAAAAAAATTAAGATCGTCTCAATATTTTTGAAATAACAAATAGTTCAACGATTATCAAGAAATTAATAGTTTGAGAGATAATTGCATCCAAAGCTTCAAATGGAACATCCTGTATAACAATGTAAAATCAATATATACAATAAATACATACACTACAAATATACATATATACATATATATATACTTGCATACATACATACATATATACGTACATATGTACATATATATGCACTATCATTTATATCTTAACTTCGAAAACACTTGCGATATTTTCATATTTTTATAAGAAATATCTCAGTGAAAAAAATCGTAGCTTTAAAAATGCATTTTTATAAATTATAAGTAGGAAAGATAGAGCTTTCAATTTGAATTTTATCTTCATGATATTTTGTTCCTAAATTACATAAAATTAAAAATATAGCAAATATTGAAAAAAGTTGATATTTTTTCCAACATATTTGTTATATTTTAAAGCTATATCTGTATGAAACATCATTGGATAAAATTTAATAAACATTTTAAAGTAAACCTCTCAAATTTTAAAATGCTTTCTGGAAAATTGATTAATTTAAAAAATTATTTTTCTCTTAAGAATGCATTTTTACAAATTTCTCTATGATTTTCTTTTTACCGAAATACTTTTCGTAAAATATGAAATATCGAAAGTGTATCGAATTTATAAGTGATATAGTGTATGTTCCATATTGTGTGTGTGTGTGTGTATGTGTGTGTATTAAAATATGAATCTAAAAATTCACTATCCACATTATATATATATCAAGTAATATGGGACATTAGTTAGGATATAACTTCGTCCTAGTCTTCGCCTCGTTGATTTTTACAATAAACCACAAACGTGCTTAGTTAATTCGCGTTTCTAGAATTAAATTAAAAAGTTAAAACTTAACGCTCGTTACATCTTTGAGATAATTAATGTGGCAGCCACATGGCTCACTTTATAGATAAAGTGCAGCTTTAAGCAAAGGATGTCGATCCTCTACGAAATTTGTTATCAAAACGCGACATATATTTGGCCTAAGCGATGACGAAGAAAATTTTGCAAGCCCGAAACGTATGATGCGAGAATTCGGGAGAATTATAAAAATAAACAAAGCTACATTACCATCTTTTTATCAAAAATCTCACAGAAAAGAACCTCAAGCGGAAGTTGCAAACCCCACGTTTATACAATACGAAGTAGAAACGTGACTCTATCCATCGACAAAGCTGGTAGAGCCAGATTAAAGGTATCTTTACATAACAGCGTCAAGCGTCGAACGTCGAGCATTGTGAGCTTCCTATTCGTTAATTTTGATCACGTAACCTGTTTTTAGTGAATAGTAAGTTCACAATGCTCGACGTAAGAAACTTGACGCAAACTTAATGTAAAGGCACCTTAAGCCTAGATCTTCGTACAGCCAACAGCGCTTTGACAAAGAACGCTGATTGGTGAAAAACCTGTTGTAAGGATAAAATTTACCTCTATCACCCATTTTTTACCAATCAACGTTTGATGCTTAGAACATATATAAATGGAAGGAGAATAGGTCGCTGAACGTTAAGCCAAAATCTGTGCAAGAGAGAAAGGTAATAAGAGATAAATGTTTGCAATGCGCATGCGTTTGTTCCTCGTTCCTGCTGTACATCATTGCCCCCTCCATCATCGCTGCTTCTCGATCCTCCACACGCGGTACTTGAACAAGGAACATCGGAACCGACGCATGCAATTGAGAACATTTATCCCTTACTATCTTTCCCTCTCGCACAGATTTTTGCATCAGCGCGAGCCATGGGAAGTATAGGCAATGCCCCTTCCATTTATATATTGGGTCATCTAAAAAGTATCCGCCAAGTATTGATCATCAACACCATCTAGTGACAAAAAACCGCGGATATTTTTTAGATGACCCAATAATATAATTTTATGTTTAAAAATAAAA